TTCTCTCTCTTCTTCATCTGGCATCCCTATAATATGAATATTGTTCCATTTGGATTGGTCACACAGTTCTCTCAATATTCTTTCATTCTTAGAGATTCTTTTTTCTTTTTGTGCCTCAGCTTCTTTGTGTTCCTCTTCTCTAATTTCTATTCCACTTACTGTCTCTTCTACTACACCTAACCTGCTTTTAAATCCCTCCATTGTATGTTTCATTTCAGATATGGAATCTCTTAATGACTGAATCTTCTACTTAAATTCATTCCTGAGTTCTTGAATATTTTTCTGTACCTCCATAAGCATGCTTATGATTTTTATTTTAAACTCTCTTTCAGGCAGATTGGTAAGTTCAGTTTCCTTACAGGCCCTTTTCCTGGGGTTTGTGAGATTTGGGTCTGAACCATGTTCTTTTGACATTACATAATTCTGTGTGGTCTCCACTAGTGCCCAGAAGCTCCAGTCTCTGGAGCTGCTCAGCCCCTAGAGTGAGGCTGGGGATTGTGGAAGAGTGGAGCTGGTGCCTGGAGGGAGGAAAGATCTGTTTCCTGATTCCCATCTGCCATGTCTGTCTCAAGTGTCAGAGCCTGTGGGCCAAGCACACAGGTGTAAGCCTCTGTGCTTTGCTCTAGCTATTGCAGGCTGAGCCTCCTTCTGGCTGGCCTGATGACAGTGCAGTGATTGCTGGTTTGCGAACCAGTGCCGGCAGGACAGGAGGAAGGTGCAGCAGGCTGCATGTCACAGTGGTGGGCCTCAGAGCTGAGTAGGCAGCCAGGGGAATGGAGTGCCTGAAGCTCCTCAAAGTTCTCAACTAGCTGGGCAGAGCCTGCCCAGACAACCTTGTGCAGCTCTCCCCTCCCCCGCACAGCAAGCTCCCGTGCAAACCCCACTCCTTCAGCAGCCCTGTCGCTGCTAGTAAGTCTCTCAAACCACCTGCCTTTCCTTTGTCCCAGAGCGGCGGAGTGTGGATCCCGCCTCCACAAATGGCAGCAATCTGTCTCTCAAGCACTCCACCTGTCTGAGCTCCCCAACGTCCAGAGCACCACACAGTGTAGGTTTCTGCCCCCAAAGCAGACCTCCAGGGCTCCATGTTCAGAAGTTCTAGGCCTCCACCCCCTCCCCCACTCCATTTATCTTCCTCCCACTGGTGAGCTGGGGTGGGGGAAGGGCTTGGGTCCTGTCTGATAAAGGCCTTCATACCTTACCCTGTGTTCATGAGGTCTGCTCTGTTTGTGAGGTCTGCATGAAGTCTGGTTCAGTCTTCTTTCTTGTTGCTGTTTTAGGGCTAGTAACAATTGACTATATTTTCATACTATTTGTGGTTTTGGGAGGAATTCTCCGTCTCACCTCTCACGCCACCATCTTGAATCTCCCCATTGATACTCCTTGCTGTTTTGATATACTTATTAGTTCTATAATATTGTTTGGTCTTTGCTTTATTAGATGTGCAATTTCCCTATTCATTTATTTCAGTTGTTTTATTATCTAATTTTTTAGTTCTTAGTCCACTGAGCTCATTTTCTTTTTAGGTTATTCTATAACTCAAAGCACTTGGGAGGAATTTTTTCGGTTTCTCTACCTTCCTCCTGAACTCTTCCCCACTGTATCTGAAATTACTTTGGTTTTCCTAATGAACTGTAGTTTGAGGACTGTTATTTTATGCTGTATGCACTTTTTCTAAGATTTATAAGTTTAAATGAGGGGAGGGGGTAGAGTTCAGGGAGGTGTGCAGCTTTTCTTAGAATACCTAAGTTCTGCAATACCTTCTGAGGTTTTAAGTGTCTTCCCTGAAGTTTACTCTACTAGAGGTTGGTATATCCCATTCCATGGGAAAAAGCCTCAATCGTTAGAATCTCCCTCAATTCAGTATGCTTTCCTGGAGTCTTTACTGCTCCCCAAAGAGTAAGTCTATTCTTCACTTCTCTTCACCTTCTTTTCCCAGTAATCATTCTCACTTTTCCAGAGAAAAAAGATGAAATATAAGGAAAACACTTAATTTTCTTCTCTCTTGGAACATATGTGCATATGTGGACCTAACAGTATAAGTTTTGATGGAATGAAGGCAGGATCAGTAGCTTTGATATGCTCCAGACCAGAATCTTCTATTTCTCTGCTTTACTACTACTTGTTGACACTTAAGATATTGAGTGTTACTATTTGTTTGCTGTGGATGATATTTTAACCTTTTAAACTTTCCTAGGTACTGGTGGAAACAGTCTATGAGAAGGTCTATTCCATTATCTCAATCTAAAATTACTGTACATTCCATATACAGTAATTTTTACTATATATATATTTTTTCTGATTATAAAGGTTATGTATTTATACATATACCAAATCATTACATTGTACATCTTAAACTAATACAATATTGTATGCCCATTATATCTCAATAAAACTGAAAAAACCTGGGAAAAAATAAGTTATATATCCTTGCTGTAAAAATTTAAGCCATACACAAGTGTATAAAGTAAAATGTGAAAATTCCTTATGGCACAGCCCTCCAAAATATCACTCTTAATAGTTCCCTCATGTTTTTATGTATTTGTTTCTTGTCAATGCTTCAGCCTTTCAGTGAAATCACTAGAAATATGTAAATACATAGATTTTTTAAAAAGAGCATTAATAAGGCACATTTTGCACATCATAAAATTCATCCATTTCATGTGTACAATCCAATCATTTTTAGTTAATATAGCAAGGCAACCATCACCATAACATATATACTTTTTGCAAAAATACATAGTTACTTTCTAAATCCCTATTTAACCTACTCTCCCAATTCTAAAATGTACTTACTGATGCCCACAGCACACTAAACATGGCTAGGAGACCTTGTCTGAGAACTTTTGGGTAGTCCTGTTCCTGTCAGTTGAGCTGACTACCAAATGTAATTTGGATTTATTCTCCTCATTTATATCAGTGATACTTGCTATTGTTAATTTAATTAAATTTTTGAAAACTTAAGAAATATTAGTATAAAGAGATATTTTTAAGAAAATTAAGTCAAATGCTTTGGACAGGCTTGTTAAAGTCAAGTCGCTAAAAAAAATTATTAAATGATGTACAGCTGAGAAATGGGTGATTGGGAAAATTATACATATCTAGATTTTGCATTCATATTACTTCACAAGTGTCTTCTCCACTTTAAAGAAACATTTTAAAAAATCACAGATGATTTGTTAAAGGCAAGAAGCACAAATCACTCCCAAAAAAACACTTCAATCAGAGGTCCTATAATCACAGGAAAACCCTGAGGCTACACCTCAAAAGATGGGTGAAGGAATTTATATTTATTAATCTTAATTTAAAAGAAATGCTTAAAATATGCAATAAACTTATTTTTCTTTAAAAATGTTTCAAAAACAAACATTTTTTATTGCAAATGCTTTATGATTCTCCATGTTACTTTTTCAAGTAACAACTAACCAGTCCCAAAGCATCAAATAAGAGGGCTTCAGGTGGGTGTGTAATTGGCTTTTTCTTCACAATATATTGAGCGCATTTTTTGTGTCATGATCTATAAATCAATCTTATATTTTATAAAACCTACTTCATAATATTCCATTGTATAGCACTACACCCTAATTTACTTAAACAAATTCTCCATTTAAACTATTACGATGTTCTTCTGAAAAAAAATTTTTGAGCAGGGAATTGAGAGGAAGAAAGTAGATTGAGATAATGAATCTGGCACCAGAGCATAAAAAGGATTAAAGAGTCAGCGGTGGAAAGGGGAGAAATGGTGGATAAGAAACTCCTGCAATAATCGAGCCCTGAGATTAGATCAGGAAGTGGCAGTGGCTTTTTCCATTATTCTTACTTATCCAACAAGTGCTCTCTCTTATCAGCCTAGAAATCCTTCCATTTCTAGAACGCACGGCATAATTTCCTTCTTTCTACCTTAACTCATACTGGTCCTTCCGCATATCATTTTTGCATTTTGAAATCCTATCTTTCCTTCAAGATCCGGAAAAAAGACCACACCCTGCCATGATTAGCCTCTGTTGGAAATCATCCTGAGATAGGTAGGAAAAAAACGGAGATCAGTCCAACCTCACATACCTAAGTTCCGACAAAATGCCTTGTGACTTTAACCACTGAGTCTGTAAGGCTCCAATACATCTTGCTTTTCACGCATGTTAGCCTATTGTTTTAACAAGTTTTATAGCCGCTATGTCCTACGTTTAGAGACCCCTTGGTCAGGTAATCAATGGACCAAGACAACTTGTGACATGAGCAATAAAGAAAATTTTGTGTCCAATAGTTGCGTTTTCCTCATCATAATACTGAATTTTCCACCCCCAGGCGGAGGTTTTATATGCTAATGATACATAAGATCACAGTTGCAACATACATGTACATATGTAACCTAACTGAGCCTGCGCTAATTGAAGCCCTCCCTACTCATGCTGGATAACCTAATAACTAATGAATAAACATTTTCATTCCCAATTGATAGGGGCCACCCCGGTTCATCTCAAGGCTGAATCTCTTGAGCAGCCCGCCTAGGTCTATCAAGGTGTTTCTGTTTCCTCACTTTTCTAATTAAGTGCACTGTTTACTTGCATACTCCTCAGTCTGGGTGTTAAATACTTTTAATACGCGAGGACAAGGACCTAGGACCCTGTTCTAGGGTCTGCCGCCAACAATCCCTCCCCTTGCTTTTCTAATAGAAAGCTGAGTCCTTCTTTCTTCCTTCCACAAAGCATTTTGCTTCCAAAGGCAGTACAGGGAAGTGGTTACCAGACATGAATTTGGACTCAGAAAATTCGCTACTTCTGTGACCTTGGCTCCTTTACCCAAATTCTCAGTGCCTCAGTGCTCTGCCCTGTAAAATGGGGAGAAGTGGACACAGCGTTGTTCAGAGGAGTAAATCAGTTAACAGGTGTAAAGCACTTACGACAGCGTCTGGGGTGTAGTCAGCGCTGAATAAACGCTGGCGGTCGTTTGGATTCACGTGGTGGGCGTGCGGAGCACCCGGTCCGCCCCAGCCGGCGCCACGCCGCGGCCGGAGCGCAGTCACATGACCGAGCCAAGATGGCGTCGCCCAACTGCTTGTGGCTCCTGGCCCTCACCTTCTTGCCGGGGTCCTGCGCTGAATGGGCACTGGAGCATCTCGACCCTCAGGCGAAGCCGCTGCCACTGGTGATCTGGCATGGGATGGGTGAGTGAGGGAGGGAGGGAGGGAGAAGACAGTCGAAAGGGTTCGGCTGCTCCTTGCCTCTCCCAGCTTGGGTTCGCGTATGCAAAGTGCAAGGGTTGGGGGCGAGGACCACGGTAATACGCCACCGGGGCGGCCGTTTTAGGATTTGGGGGCTGGTCTGCATTGGAAGGGGAGAAGTGGGAAGAGCTGTATTTTGGAGAGCGCTTGTAGAGGGCTGTGCACTGCGTTAGGGTTTTTAGTGCTGCTCTTGTTTAATTCTCACGGCATTGGCGTCATGGTGCAGTATCTGGCTCTTGGTAAGGCGAGGTAGTCTGTGGCTACATGACCCGGACATCCATCCTTTTATTTAGTCACACATTGAACATAGATTTGTTAGGCATCTATAGTTCATTTATACATTTAACACATTGAGCATTCGTTAGGTGAGGATACAGCAGTGAGCTAAAGAGACTAAATTCTTTGCTCTTTTGTAATTTACTTTCCAGTAGGAGAGACAGACTATAACTAACTAAATAAATAAATAAAACATATAATACATCAAAGAGTGACAAGTGAAATGGAGAAAAAACAGGGAGGTGAACAGAGACTGGAGGTGGGGGCTTGCAATTTTATAAAGCAAGGTCAGGAAAGGATTCACTCGAAGTGTGACATCTGAGCAAGGACCCGATGTGAATGAGGGAAGAGACAAGGTGGATATCTGGCGAAAGGAATAGCAAGTGCAAAGGTCCTGAGGCAAAAGTATGTCTTACATTAAGGAACAACGTTCTGGCCAGTGTGGCTGGAACTGAGTCAGCAAGGAGAAGAAAATAGAGGTTTAGGTTGAGGCCAGGGAGCCGATGTTGTACCTACTAAGGCTATTCTAGGGACTTTGGCTAGACTGAGATGGGATGCCCTTGGTGGGGGATGCAGAGGAAGGGTTGAGCAGAAGAGTCATGTGATCTGACATTTTAAAAGGACCACTATAGTTGCTGTATTGAGAATAGATTGTAGGGGGTCATGGACATTTGCAGGGAGGCAAGTTAGGAAGCTATTATAATAATTTAAGCAAGAGATTGTGGCTTGAGACAGTATAGTTATAGGAGTGATGTTGAGACGTGCTCAAAGTTTTGATATATTCTGAAGGTGGAACCAATGGGATTTGCTAACAGATTAGATGTAGGAGGAGAAAGAGAGAATGATGTTGAGTCAAGGATGATGCCATGGGTTTGGTCTGGACAATTAGAAGGATGGAGTTGTCAGTTTACGAAAATAGGGAAGCCTATAGGGTAAGCATATTTGGGGTGGGGAGAAATCAAGAGCCTGTTTTTGGACTTAACTAAATTTGAGATGCTTGTTAGACATCCAGGAGATGTTGGAGAGGCATTTGGAGTGCAGAATCTGGCAGGCTGGAGATTTAAGTTGGGAGCATTCAGCATATGACTGGTGTTTAAAGCCATGAGACTGGGCAAGATCACCTAGGGAGGGAGTGAACACAGTGGAGGAAAGAGGCCTAAAAATTGAGCCCTGAGGCACTCTCAACATTGGGAGGTTGAGGAAATGAGGAGAAATTAACTAGGGAAGCAGTGATGGAACAACAGAGAGATGGAGGAAAGCCAGGAGAATGCAGTGTGCGCAAACCAAGTGAAAATGTTTCAAGAGGAGGGAGTAATCAACTTAACAGAATTTTGTTGACATTAAGATAAGGGCTGAGAATTGGTTATTGGATTTAGCAAAATGAAGATTGCTAATAACTATGACAAAAGCAATTTTGGGGAGTGGTAAGTGAGAGACTTATTCAAATGAGTTAAAGGGAGATTTTTCAGAGAGGAATTAGAGTTAGCAAATAGAGACAGTTCTTTCAAGTCTGTGTGCCAGGCCATGGGGCTACTACAGTGGAGAAAATGCAGGAAAATCCATTCCTTCCCAGAGCACAGTCTGTCCACACCACGTTGGAGGCAGTTAAGTAACTGACTGTTACAGTTCAGTGCAGTGAATGCTATTATGAAAGAAAATAGAAGATGCTCTAGGCCTTAGCTTTTTCTTCTTTTAAAAACAAATTCTTAAGCTTCCTCTCAGACTGAAAATGGCTGATGAAGTTCATAATGGAAAATGATCTCAGCCCACTTCTCCCCTCTGGCTAGTCACTTCACTTCCAGTTCTTCATTCTGGATCCTTGCAACAGAGAAAGAACAGGGTTGGCCCTAGGGTGAAGCAGGGAGAACCCGAGAGCACAGTGTAAGGCGGCACTCACTCTCTCATTTATACAGGTTTGAGGGTCAGCACCTGCACAAACCTGAGAGCAAGTGCCCCTTAGATTCTGTGTCCTAGGCTCTGCTCTGGTATTAGCCTAGTCCTGGCCCTGGAGAGAAACCAGTGCCTTTGAGTCTCTTAACCCCAAATGTTCTAGATGATAAGGAAGAGGAATGTGCACCTCTGCTTATTTTTCAGCTTTAAATTTGGTATCCCAATTATATTGTATGGGCTTTTGAATTTGTTATTACTGGATAAACAGAGCTAAGCAAAAAATGCTTTTTCCCCTTTTTTTTACTGAGACAAAATTCCTATACGATCAACCATAGGAAAGTATACAATTAAGTAGCATTTAGTGAATTCAGTGTTGGCCAGCCACCACTTCTGTCTAGTTTCAAAACTTTTCCATCATGCCAGGAAACACCCATACCAATTAAGTAATCTCTCCTCATTCCCCACTCCCATGACCCTCTGGAAATGTCCAGTCTGCTTTCTGTCTCGATTTTCCTATTCTGGGTATATCATACAAAAATGGAATCATACAATATGTTACCTTTTGTGTCTGGCTTATTTCACTTATACTATCCATTTTGTATCATGTGTCAGTACTTGTTTCCTTTCTATGGCTGAATAATATTCCATTATATGTACACACCACAATTTGTTTATCCATTCATACATTGATGGATATTTGGGTCATTCTGACCTTTTGGCTAGTATGAATAATTCTTCTTGTAAACATTCTTGCTGTGTGGACATATGTTCCCATTTCTCTTAGGTATATATCTAGAAGTGAAATTGCTGGGTTCTATGGTAATTGTAATGTTTAACTTTTTGAGGAACCCTCAAACTGTTTTCACAGTGGCTGCATCATATTACATTTCCACCAGCAATATACAAGAGTTCCTATTTCTCCATATCCTAACCAACACTTATCATTTGCTGTTTTTAAAATAATTATTTTTTATCAAAATCATTCTAGAATAAAATACCTAGGAATAAACCTAACCAAGGAAGTGAAAGACCTATACCCTGAAAATTACGGGACACTCTTAAAAGAAATTAAAGAGGACACTAATAAATGGAAACTCATCCCATGCTACTGGCTAGGAAGAATTAATATCGTCAAAATGGCCATCCTGCCCAAAGCAATATACAGATTCGATGCAGTCCCTATCAAATTACCAACAGCATTCTTCAACGAACTGGAATAGTTCAAAAATTCATATGGAATCACCAAAGACCCTGAATAGCCAAAGCAATCCTGAGAAGGAGGAATAAAGTGGGGGGGATCTCACTCCCCAACTTCAAGCTCTACTACAAAGTCACAGTAATCAAGACAATTTGGTACTGGCACAAGAACAGAACCACAGACCAGTGGAACAGAATAGACTCCAAACATTAACCCAAACATATATGGTCAATTAATAATTCGATAAAGGACCCATGGACATACAATGGGGAAATGATAATCTCTTCAACAGATGGTGCTGGCAAAACTGGACAGCTATATGTAAGAGAATGAAACTGGATCACTGTCTAACCCCATACACAAAAATAAATTTGAAATGGATCAAAGACCTGAATGTAAGTCATGAAACCATAAAACTCTTAGAAAAAAACATAGGCAAAAATATCTTGGACATAAACATGAGCGACTTCTTCATGAATATCTCCCCGGGCAAGGAAAACAAAAGCAAAAATGAACAAGTGGGACTTTATCAAGCTGAAAACCTTCTGTACAGCAAAGGACACCATCAACAGAACAAAAAGGTATCCTACAATATGGGAGAATATATTCACAAATATATCAGACATCTGATAAAGGGTTGACATCCAAAATATATAAAGAGCTCACACACCTCAACAAACAAAAAGCAAATAATCCAATTAAAAAATGGGCAGAGGAGCTGAACAGACACTTCTCCAAAGAAGAAATTNAGGAATTCCACTTCTAGGAATTTACCCTAAGAATACAGCAGCCCAGTTTGAAAAAGACAGATGCACCCCTATATTTATCGCAGCACTATTTACAATAGCCAAGAAATGGAAGCAACCTAAGTGTCCATCAGTAGATGAACAGATAAAGAAGATGTGGTACATATACACAATGGAATATTATTCAGCCATAAGAAGAAAGCAAATCCTACCATTTGCAGCAACATGGATGCAGCTAGAGGGTACTATGCTCAGTGAAATAAGCCAGGTGGAGAAGGACAAGTACCAAATAATTTCACTCATATGTGGAGTATAAGAACAAAGAAAAAACTGAAGGAACAAAACAGGAGCAGAATCACAGAACCCAAGAATGGACTAACAGTTACCAAAGGGAAAGGGACTGGGAAGGATGGGTGGGAAGGGAGGGATGAGGGGGGGAAAGAAAGGGGGCATTACGATTAGCATGTATAATGTGGGGAGAGGCACGGGGAGGGCTAGGCTACACAGAGAAAACAAGTAGTGATTCTGCAGCTTCTTACTATGCTGATGGACAGTGACTGTAATGGGGTTGGTGGAGGAGACTTGGTGAAGGGGGTAGCCTAGTAAACATAATGTCCTTCATATAATTGTAGATTAATGATACCAAAATAAAAAATAATAATAATAATAAAAATCATTCTAGTAGTTGTGAAGTGGTATCTCATTGTGGTTTTAATTTACATCTCCTTAATGACCCATGATGTTGAACATCTTTTCATATGCTTTTGGCCACTTGTATATCTTCTTTGGAGATGTGTCTGTTCAAGTCCTTTCCCCACTTTTTAATTACGTTATCTTCTTGTTGAGTTGTAAGAGTTCTTTGTGTATGTTGGATATTAAACCCTTAGCAGATAGATGTTTTGCAAATATTTTGTCCCATTTTCTATGTTGTCTTTTCACATTCTTGATAATACCCTTTGAAGCACTGAAGTTTTTAAAAAATAAATAATGTTGTTTTGATTCATGAGTTCCCATTATTGTCTGTTATTTAGGAGACAGCTGTTGTAATCCCTTAAGCATGGGGGCTGTGAAGAAAATGGTGGGGAAGAAAATACCTGGAATTTACATCTTATCTTTGGAAATTGGGAAGGACCAGGCAGAGGTAAGGCTCTGCACAGCTCTGTTCCTTTGAAGGTTTGCTGACTGATTTTGTAGGATGTACTATTAAAATGCTTTACTTTGTATTTTTAGTAGCAAATCATACAGTGGTACTTTAACTTTTGAGTGATTTATGCAAGGGTACCAGCCTAAACGAGTTTGTGTAGAGAAGATGCCAGTGGTTGTCTTCACACCATCCTTTTACTTCTCTGTGGCACTTCTTTTAGGATGTGGAGAACAGCTTCTTCTTGAATGTCAATTCCCAAGTAACAACAGTCTGTCAGATTCTCGCTAAGGATCCTAAACTGCAGCAGGGCTACAATGCTATGGGATTTTCCCAGGGAGGCCAGTTTCTGTAAGTCCTTTTCTGTTACATTGGACCACTTACATGGAATTGATACTTTTTCTTTTATTCAGATAGGTCCACTCCTCAAATTCTCTTAAAATCTTCACCTAGCTTGGATGGGAAACTATTCTAAAATGTTCCCATGTGAGAAGTTTTATGGAGTTTTATTTTCTATAGATGAATAAAGATTTGTGTTTGGCCATATCAGAAGAAAATCCTAAAACTCTGTGGCTTGGGGAAACCACGGAGGATTAAGTAGCTTAATCTGGGAAGTTGATTATGGATAATACATTTATATCTGACAGTTGGAGCTGATGATCCTTTTTTAACCCCCAGGAGGGCAGTGGCTCAGAGATGCCCATCACCTCCCATGATCAATCTGATCTCAATTGGGGGACAGCATCAAGGTAATTTTGGCCTCTTTACCTCCTTTTTCCTCTGCTCTAATTCACCTGACTGCTTGATTTGTAAAAATTCTAGCAGCGCCACTTATATAAAAAGTCAGCCAATCTCACAAAATCCTGTTTTTCCAGTTTATAACAAACTAGCCAGCATTGATGAAGAAATAGGAAGAGACTTAGGATTCCAGATGCCTGGAACACAGATGAATCTTTAGGTTGCCATCAATCTTTATCCAATTTAATTGACATGATTTCCTGGAGGGGAAATGGTTGCAGCCACATAGCAGGTAGTGAAGCAGTAAAAGAAGTACATACTCCAGGGAGGAGCAGGTGCAAAGAGTGTGGGAGCACCAGAAAGAAACTGGTTATAGTATTAATTCTCAATATGGTATTTTCTTGAGGAATAAATGAATGAGCTGAGGGTGTAGCTCTGGTTTGTTTTTGGTTCTCACAGTGTCCTGCACATAGGTGTTGAATACAAGATTATTGAAGGAATACATATTTGTCTTCCACTACTGTAGGTATTTTTGGACTCCCTCGGTGCCCAGGGGAGAGCTCTCACATCTGTGACTTGATCAGAAAAACACTGAATGCTGGAGCTTACGCCAAAGCTGTTCAAGAACAGTACGTATGGTTAGGTGGAAATAGAACTGTCACTGTGTGGAAATATGCTGATTTTCATGCTAACAGTGATTCTAGGAATAGTTGCTAGTGATCTTCAAATGAGATAGTTTTTGTAAATTTCTCTGTGCTGTCTGCTCAATTTTGTTATAAACCTAAAGCTGTTCTAATATTAATTTTAAAAAGCTAGGGTATTTTTCTATGTAGGAAGAATGTAATTATGTCAGAATAAATTTCCATATTTAAGAAACAATCTTTAGAGAGTAGCACACCCAAAGAATTACTGTTAATATTTAGAGGACAGATTCTTTATGTTGTCAATAGCAAGGGGCTAGCCTTCACCTCACTGTCCCCACCTACTCAAGTGTGTTTGGGCATTTAAAATACAGAGAATCACTTTTGGAGTGTGTTCTTGTTTACTTGTTTCCAAATGGAAATTATACATCAGAACCCCTGGGAAATTCATTAAAAACGGATCCCAGGAATCCATCTTTAGAAATTCTGATTCAGTAGATCTGGAAGTATTCTAGGTGATCATTGAGATGTGGGATCAACTTGTGTGGTTATGGTATCTATCCTGTGGGTTTTCCAAATATATCATCCTGTCTAGTAACAACTCTTCAATACAATACTTTCTTGAAGTCATTTTCCAAGATACAGCCTTATAAATGACTCACAAATAGAAATAACTCCTCTACCTCTCTTTTCCTTTCCTGCCTTTTGGCTGCATGTATAGTATAGTCCCATAGCTCTCTTGGGTTTGTACCACCTGATGATCAGTGAAGGAAACTAAGATACTCCTTATCTCCACCTCCTTCCCCCTCGGGCAACCTGAACTACTGCTGGTTTGACTAGTCCCAGCTTGTTTATTTTTACCTTACATATTCTCTGTTCCCATGGATATGTATGTCATCTTTATACTTTATTATTCTTTATTCTTCTAACTCTTGCCCATATAGCTTGGAAAATTCATCCTTTTTTTTTTTTCTGTTGTGAATCAAACAGTCCTTGGCAATCAGAATTACCAGTAACTATAAATGAGCGGTTGGTTGCGGGAGCGGGGACTCTTAAGTACTGATTAAAAGTGGTAAATTGATGTGCTTAACTTCACTTCCTCCTTAAACTTTAATAAACCCATAGCAAAAGAATAAGAAGTAATAAACCCACTGGGCAAAGAGAATGTGGAGAGATGATAAGAGATAATAAAAGACATATTTTTGAAAGACAGCAGGTGAATGAGTGATAACTATAAGCAGAGAAAAAGCTGAAATCTTTGTGTCTGAAGAGGGATACACTGGCAAGAAAGGAGGTTTCTTACAGCTCCTGAAAGGCTCAGGTATAAGACATATAAGATACTTCAGAAAGTAGAGGTAAGTACATCGGGCCAAAAACAGGTGTTTGGTTGCAAATCTACATGAGGAATGGTCAAACTCCCCAATTTCCATAAGTGCACATTCAAGTACTGCTCCTTCCCACCTGTGACAAGAGAAACAAACCTTACTCTCCGGAGCAGTTTAACTAAAGAGCCAGATTTGCAGATAACAAACCGGAGTGGTGATAAGACGCAATATTGAAAAGCCATTGCCTCCCGCTCCCCTTTCATTCCTCCCATTTCCCCTGAATGATAGCAGCCAGGCTCGTGATCTGTTTGGCAGAAGTCTGACACATCCCTCTCTGGAAAAACTGGCTGGCCCAAAAGAAAAGACCTACAGGTTGATGTTTTGGAACCTTCCAACAGATAGTGGGGGACTCCTGACTACACGCTAGTGAAGCCACCAGGAGATAAGCTCTGCTCTTGTCTGCAGAGCTTCCAGTGGACTTTGTAGAACCTTATTTAAATATGAAAAGTGACTCAAGGACCCCCAGTCAGATATCTTCCAACATGAAAGGCAGATCAAAACAAACAAAAAGTAAAAAGGAACTTGAAAGAAACAGATAGCAATTCAGGGAGCTGGAAAAAACCTTAAAAAGCCTATGATTATTGTCTTCAGAGGTAAGATATTACATCCAAGATGCTAGAAAAGAAGGTGACTCAAACCAGCAATCAGAGAGCTCCTGGAAGTTAAAAGTAAGGTAACCAAAATAAAAGTATTGGAGGTATGGGAATACAAAGTTGAGGAAATCTCCTAGAAATAGAACAAACACCCAAGGAGGTAGCAAAGGCAGAAGAGGTAAAATTAGAGAAGCTATTTAGGAAGTCCACTATCTGCCTGAGGAGTTTCAGAAAGAGAAATAGGAAAGGGTGAATTGGAGTTATCAAACACATTAACAGTTCTCAGAACTATAGGACATGACTTTGGAGATTAAAAGGGCTCACCTTGTAGTAGGACAAGGAATGAAAAAAGACCCACACCAGGTATATTCCTGTGAAATTTTGGAACACAGGGGATAAAGAGTAGATCCCAGTGTGGTATCCTAAAGTCAGAGTCTTAATGGCAGGAGATGCCTGGACAGCAGTGCCACCAGCCAGCAGGCAGTGGTGTGGCACCTTTGTATTCTGGGGGAAAATAGTTTCCAGCCTAGAATGCTATGCTAAATCTCAAAGCAGTAATCAAATATGAAGGGAAATAAAGACATCCTCAGACATGTAAGAAGAAAAACAGGACCTTCTGTGCCCTCCCTCTGGGGGGTTGTCGGACAGACTCCGTGCTGCCCTGCCTAGCTGTGCGGCCTGGGGTGTCTGCACTTCAGCCTCATCGCTAGCAAGAGCTTAATCACAGTACTTCCCTCAGGGTTCATGTGGGGATTAGACCTGCTGAGTATAAAGCATTCAGTGCAGTGCTAGGTTTAGATGACGTAGGCAGGTTTGGGCTTGCACCACTAGGACGCTGCTGTCTACAATAGTCATTCAGCTGTAGCTTTCCGTTGCCTTTATTTGCAAGTCATGCAATGGTTTTGTTTTTTCTCTTTTCATTGCAGTTACGAAGTATTTCATCAAGTAGAACTCCTGCTATGTGCCAGGCCCTACTGTAGGTCTCACAGATACAGTGGAGACAAAACAGGGTCCCTGCTCTCAGGAAGTAGCATGCTAGCGGGAAAAAGGGGTCCCCAAGTAAACAGGTTCACTTAATCTCTACTAGTGCAAAGACCATGGCAAAAATAAAAAGGATGCAGTATAGCAGAGGAGGTACACCTGCTTTGGATAGAATAATCTCTGCAGAAGAGAGATTTAAGCTGGATTCTGAAGGATCAGAAGGAAGCAGCATGGGAGGAGCTAAGGAGAGAAGGATCAGGCAGAGGGAAGAGTGGGGACAAGGCTCTGAGCCTGGGACAAGTTCAGCTTGTGCTAAGCCTCAATGACTAGAATTTAGTGACAGATGGGAGAGCCGGACAGAAAAGCAGAGGCTACAACATGCAAGGACTTGTAGACCACATACGGAATTTGGATTTTCTTCTGAACATATTGGGAGGTTTTAAGCAAGGGAATAACATGGCCTAATCTATGTTTTTGGAAGCACTCCTCTGCCTTGTGGGGAGCGGATTATAAAGCAGTGGAGGAAAAGCAGGGAGACCAGTTAGATGGCTGTCACAGTGCTCCCGGTAAAAGGTGATGGCAGCTTGGACACTAGACCAGAGTGGCCACGGTGAGCTGGAGAGAAATGGAATCACTTGAGATGCATTTCATAACATAGCTGACTTGTGGGCCAGGATACAGCCCACCATTTATGACACAGTCTCCTTGGGAAATGCAGTCTTAGTTCTCAAGAGCACATTTACAGATTAATTTTTAGGAGTGTTTTTTAACTTTGTACATTGTTTGCCTTTTCTTTTTAAAGTTTATTTATATGGGTAAAAATTCATTTTAACAGATGGCCAGTATGGAGATTTAAAGAAGCAAATAGCCCAAGTAGTGTGGTAGGAAGGAGGATGGTGAGAGCGTAAAGTGACATTAGCAGGAGGTTTTCTCTTTGAAGTATTGTTCTGGGTGCCCTGTATTAGGATTGTAGATGCAATAAATAACCCAATCAAACCAAAATAAAATTTTAGGAAATCATCGTATTTTGGTGCCCAAGGCCTGGAGGACTGGAGTGAAGAAGTGGGAGCCAGCCAGAGCCAAGGCAGCCTCTCTCCAGCTGTCACTGCTGCTGCTGTGTTATTGCTGCTTTTTTCTCTCCATGCAGGCCAGCTTCACCTGCTGCATACATGGTGAAAGGGGACATTGCACAGCTTCCAAGTTTTTAGTCCTCTCTGTTTAGGAGATTATCTCAGTCTGAGGCTAGAACCTCTCCATCTCAATGCAGATTCTTAGGGAAAGGACCCTGACCAGCTCAGGTCAGGTCACCACCTTTAGCTCTTTGGCCTTTCGTTAGCTGTGGCCAGAGACATACGACCACATGGCACCAACCATATTCACCTCTGTAACCTGTAGGTGGGGGCAGGAAGGATGCAGTTCTCAGACAAGGGGGGATGGTTTTGACTTAGGCAGAGACCCCAAAAGATGTCTTATTTACTACTCAGAGAATTTAACCTTAGCAAAGCAGATCTGCTCTCCGAATACCCTGAGTAACCAGCGAGGAAGTGTTTTTCAAGCACTAGCCCCTGGCCAGGCACATTGGGACAGTAAGGAATGTGAGGATAACAAGTCTCTCTCAACCTTCTGGTTGTGAAATCTGCCCTCTAGTTTCCCTTGGAGATGCTGGCAGCCCTTCCTGGATATCTCCTTCCTCCTGTTTTCTCTCTGCTCTCCCTCCTGGCTCCCCACCTCCCTGCCACAGTGAGCACCCCTGTGTGGCCCCGCCCTCGGCCTTGGCCTCTCCTCTTCCCCCGCTCCAGCTCTGCTCTGCCAGCTTGCCCACCTCTTGGTCCAAGGCCCCCAGCCCTCCGCGCCCCAGTGCTCGGCAGGGCCGGGCCACCCGGGCCTCTCACAGGGTGCTTCCCCTCGGTCGTCTGGCTTTCCCCACGTCTTTGCCCTCAACTTGCCTCTCCTTTTTCTGGAAATATTGAGGCATCCCCAGGTTCCCTTATATACTTTTCAGACATTCAGAAAAAGTAGAGAGTAATGT